TATACATGCATGATATTTTTCTCTGTATTCATAAATCTAAAATTTCTAAATTACAATAAATGAAAAATTGAATACGAAGAACATCAATGATAGAATAATTTATAATTGTCAAATATATAAAAGTAATAATTATATTTTAAAATCAATTGTAATAATTACTATAAAGTAATAATTATATTTTAAAATAAATTAATTTAATTTTTGTATTATAAAAAGTAACGAAAAAGTAACGAATCGTTATTTTCTTAGTAATGATAGCGGTAACGAGTTACTTTTTAAAATTAGTAATGAGTAACGGTAATGAGTTACTTTTCACAAAAAGTAACGGTAACGGTAATGCGTTATTTTTTAAATAAACATTTTGAAATAACGTTCCCAACTCTAGTTATATTTTTATAACACTGCGTTTTATAACACTGCGTTTAAATACTGCGTTTCCGAAATATTAGATTTCACTCGCAAAGGATGGTTTTTAGAAATTGTTATTCTATGGTAAATTAGTTTTTGGAAAAACCTTGAGGACACAAAACCCTGGCACACAAAAATATACGTAAGAAGTGAAACGTAGTCGGTAAGGAAATTGACTAATCGGAATTCTTACGTTTTCTTACGTTTTAATATGGCTGCCTTACTGCTCAATCATGATTGGTCAATTTGCTTTCTGACTACGTTTAACTGCTTACGTTTTTTTGTGTGCCAGAGCCCTAACGGCGTAAGTCCCATATTTCTGTGATGTATCATTTTCAAAATATTATTTTTCATCCTCAAGGAGTGGTTTTTGAAATTTGCTTTTATAAGGGATAGCTTTTGGAAATTGTTACTATATGACAAATTACTTTTTTTTAAATTTTATTTAACTGTAGAAGTTCTGTATTTTGACGGCTCCGTTTCTAAGATATTAAATTTCACCCCGAAGAGATGGTTTTCGAAAATATGATAAATTAATCTTTCACATATACGTGCGCGCGCGCGCACACACGTGTGTGCGTGCGTGCGTGTGTGTATAAAGGAAAAGAAGAACGAAAAATGTTATAATACAATTCTGATATTCGATCATCATTTCTCAGGATTGACTGCATCGATTTTATTTAAATTGGTCCCAATCGAAAGCTTATATTCACATTACAAATATAAGTGTCGTTAGATTTTTGATTATGGCTTTAGTTTATTAAAATATCTTAAATATCTTAAATATAAATATCATAACCGAAAGTTTACTTAACGTGAAATTCCGGATAAGCTACTTGATAACATCGCGTCGAGTGATATTGCGTATTTCTATATTAGATGAGAAAGAAATCACACTATATTATACAAATTTAAAATCTTTATTTAATAAATAAAAACATTTATATTAAAAAATTTAGAAACAATATAATAAAAAAGAATATAATAAAGTAATATAAAGTAATATACAATTGACTTCATGTGTACATGATTCTTTGATTATATATATACAAGGTGTCCCAGTTATCTTCCGTTATCTTTTAAAGACAGATTCCTGGGATCATTTGAAGACGATTTTTCCTCAGCGAAAATGTCAATGAAAGCCATTTTTTGCATGTTTCCGATTTTTGTCATCATATATCTTTGCAATTAAGTCTTAATTAAAACTCAACTAAAGTAAGCTCTATTTAAATTTAATCGAAAAATGTGATTTTGTTAATATTTTATTTCTACAAAGCTTAATTTACGAAAAACCCCTTATTTCCAATCACTTATAATTCGAAAATTATTAATGCCTCGACATTTTCGTTGAGGAAAAATCGTCTTCAGATGATCCCAGGAATCTGTCTTTGAAAGATAACGGAAGATAACTGGGACACCTATATACAGGGTCTACCAAAAGTGTGGAAACCCGTAAATATCTCGGAAAATATACGTTTTACAGAAAAGTGTTTCCAACAAAAGTTGTAGGGTTTAAGAAGATCTATATACTGATTCTATCAGTTTGACCTTGGATGGCGTCGTCAAGGTCAGGTCAAGGTCACATTGACTTTTTTAAATGACACCCCCTACATTTGATTGCATATTCTTATAGCTTAATTCAAGAGCTTTCCAAAACACTATAATAATGTTCATTTTTATTAAGTACTTTGCGAGTTATGAGGGTTGAATGATAGAGTAGCGCCGGTATTAACATTATCCAAGGTGTACTACATGGAGGTTACTCGCTCGGATTTGCATCTGTTGTGTGTGTGATCCAGCTAACTAAGGCAAGATCGATTCCTCAACATATCCTCATATTTCGCTGAAGTCAAATTGCCAAAAAATTGCTCCATAAAACGTGTATGAAACGTCTCGTTAGTTCCTTCATTTACCGCTATGTGACGCACTACATGCAGTCTAACTCGCATTTAAAATTCAACTAAGAATGTATAAAGCTATCAAAGAACGAGCACCTTCTAACTTCAGCTTTGAGCAAGCAGAAATTAATTGTTATCGTCCAAATACAACGTACGATTAATTAAAATTAAACGTTTTAAAAATGGCTGGCGACTTGTCGGAACGTGAAAGAATCACTATCCTCATGATGCGTGGATGGGGTGATAACGAAAGATCGTTCTCTGATGTCGTTCGATTATTTAATGACACGTATCCGAACCGTCGAATTAATAAGTCCACTGTGTTAAAAACAATAGAACGTTTTAGACAAACTGGTAGCGTAAGAAATCGCTCTAAGTCAGGAAGACCATTGTCTGCAACCAACGAAGAAAAACAACTTGATGTTCTGCAGACATTTATTGAAGATCCCAATTCTAGTGTTCAGAGAGTCGCTCAAACTCACGATATTGCTCCCATGTCGGTTTGGAGAATTTTAAAGAAGAACAAGTTCCATCCATATAAATTGCAATACGTTCAAGAATTGCAAAACGGAGATGAGGAGCGTCGTATACATTTCTGTGAAAGAATGATGGCACTAATAGATGTCCGGCCCATCTTCCCTTATCAAATTGTTTTCACAGACGAGGCAACTTTTACCTTAACGGGAGAAGTTAATAATCAAAATTTTCGTTTCTGGTCAGATGAGAATCCGAATTGGGTGCGGGAAACTCACACACAACATCCACAAAAAATAAATGTATGGTGCGGAATAATAGATGGCTATTTAATAGGGCCGTTTTTTTTTGAAGAATATTTGAACGCTCAAAGGTATGAGAGATTACTTGTTGATCAAATAATTCCAGCCATACAGAATACTTTTCCAAATAATTTCCAAGAAATATGGTTTCAGCATGATGGAGCTCCTGCTCATTTTGGTGCAGGACCACGTCGTATTTTAAATGAGACTTTTCCGCTACGGTGGATAGGAAGAAGGAACGGAAATGAGGGAGGAGAGGATTGGCCACCTCGGTCACCAGATCTAACTCCTCTTGATTATTATCTATGGGGATATCTGAAGAGTAAGGTTTACAGAACAAAACCTAAAACCATTCACGAATTGATACAGCGAATAAGGGATGAAATGGCTTTGATACCTTTTGAAACGAATCGTAAAGTCATTTCTACATTCTACCAAAGATTAGCATATTGTCAGGAAGTAAATGGCAGCCACTTTCAGCATTTACTTTAACACATTGAAACACATTTGCAATCGTTTGGTGCAACCTAATCTGATCTCTGTATACACGCACCGCACGCACGCACACGCACACATTTCGAACAATTATTATGATAAATGAGCATCCACAAATTTATTTACTGTTTACTATGTCGATTGCTTTCCAGGTCTTTAAATGCTCGATTGTAATTTGGTTGGGTCTTTGCTTTTGCTGACTGGATCCACGACCGATCTTGCCTTAGTTAGCTGGATCACACACATAACAGATGCAAATCCGAGCGAGTAACCTCCATGTAGTACACCTTGGATAATGTTAATACCGGCGCTACTCTATCATTCAACCCTCATAACTCGCAAAGTACTTAATAAAAATGAACATTATTATAGTGTTTTGGAAAGCTCTTGAATTAAGCTATAAGAATATGCAATCAAATGTAGGGGGTGTCATTTAAAAAAGTCAATGTGACCTTGACCTGACCTTGACGACGCCATCCAAGGTCAAACTGATAGAATCAGTATATAGATCTTCTTAAACCCTACAACTTTTGTTGGAAACACTTTTCTGTAAAACGTATATTTTCCGAGATATTTAGGGTTTCCACACTTTTGGTAGACCCTGTATATGTAATTCTGTATACTGGCTTCACGGCATGCAACTGCTATTTTAAAAAAACAATGAAAAGGAAATGTGTGTGTGTGTGTGTGTGTGTGTGTGTGTGTGTGTGTGTGTGTGTGTGTGTGTGTGTGGCGCACAAATTAAACTTTCGAAAATTTTCATTCAAGACAAGACAATATTTTTGCGAATATTGTCTTGTGTTGTGTTCTATACAACTTTAATTTAAAATCGATTTGAAATAAAATTATGGGATACATATTTATGTAAAGATTGACTATTGACATTTATTTACGAATTTGTCATTATATACATATATGTAATAAAATAACATACAAATAAGATGTTATATGTTATAATATATAATTATATCTTTTGCTATTTTAGTACAAGCACTTTTATTCATGAATATACTTGTAGTTTGAAACTAATTTGTAATTAAATAAATTTAATTTTGTAATTGAGTAGTAGATCTATGTGTGCCGTGTTCATGCCTAAATTATATGTTATGATTATATGACGCTAAATGGAATGCTAGTTCCTTTTCCTTATTACTAATCTAGTTAGTTTATATACTCTACCTTTTCTTTCCGGCTAATCACGCGAGTGCACGCTAGCTTATCATTCAAATCTTTCTTCTATTACTTTTCTAAATTGATACGAGCAATGCCGAATCTAGTAAATAGTCCGTGTAATAATAACTAAGATTATTATTCAGTCCAACCTGTAGCTTTCCTAAAAGTAACAAACTTTATTGTATATCGTAAATTTTCTAAATTGGATTTGTAGCGAAGGGAAAAAAATTTATCTCAAATTGTCTGTTAGTTTTTTCAGATCGCATCATCAACATGTAATATTGACGAACTTGTAATACCCTTTATAGGTGCATGTACTAGTCTTTTATACATGTTCGTAGCAAACCTAGTCGGACAAGAAATTACAGATCACTATAATTATATATATGTTGCTGTGTAAGAAATATTGTAATTTATAATATGTTATATTGTTTCACGAATTTAATAATAAAGATGAAAATTAATACGTACAACAAATATATTCATATGCTGAAAATTACTTAAAATGAAAAATTCTTATTTTTGCTAAGTTATTAATTCATTATGTATCAATGTTATCTATAGATATAAAATTCAATGGTATATAACTCCGATAGAGATACAAAAGCTGATATTGATTCTCATACAAAGAAGCAACAAAACTTTTGGTCTGAATATTGGTGGATTATTTATAGCATCCATTCAATGTTTTGCTTCGGTAAAATTTTATATATTAATGTTATATATCAAATTGAATGTTATAAATTTAAAAAAAAATTGAATAAAAACAATAGTTCAATAATTTTTCATTACAGTTAACAAACACATCTTTATCCTATTTTACAGTCATGTATTCTATACGACAATGATACAATCATCAAATTATGCAATTATGTAATTATGTTACTGAGTCACATATTACTTGAAAGCAATAAACAAAAAAATAAATAATTATTTTATTGTCAATAACAAATATGTATTTATTCTTTTGCATTGTAAATTTTAGTAAATAAGATAATGCATGCAATATATGGAGTTTCATTGTAACTTTCAGGTCAAAATCTTAATTTCACAAGATTTTAGAAAAAAATGTTTCAGACAAAAGTTAGAGATTCAAGGGAAGCATAAGATAGTGGCAATTATTTGACCTTGGATAGTCATTTGAAAGTCACGTGAAGATCACCTTTAAATTCTTAAATAGAAACCCTTATTTTTCATTGCATATTCTTATAGAGAAGGAAACACATAGTTGTTATTAAGAAAAAATATATAATTATTAATGGCAAAATTGATTCCTCTCATTATTTTGTACATAAAAGTATTAAGGTAAGATAATCGAAAAATAAATATTTTACTTAGATATATATTTTGTGGTTTATGTAAAATTGAGAAACCCACACAGAAATAAAATCTTTAATGGATGTCCACTAGACGTCTAGGGAGCGTTCGAAATGACCACGTTTGAAACGGCCACGTTCGTAATGGCCACTCGTTCGTAATGGCCACGTTTGAAACGGCCACGTTCGGAACGGCCACGTTCGTAATGGCCACTCGTTTATAATGGCCACGTTCGCAACGGCCACATTCGGAACGGCCACGTTCGGAATGGCCACAGGAAATATTGAATAAAGTTCGATTTGACCACGTTCGTAACGGCCACGTTCGTAATGGCCACCTGTTCGTAATGACCACGTTCGAAACGGCCATTCGTTCATAATGGCCACTCGTTCGTAATGGTCACTCGTTCGTAATAGCCACTCGTTCGTAATGGCCACTCGTTCGTAATGGCTACGTTCGGAACGGCCACGTTCGAAACGGACACACGTTTGTAATGGCCACGTTCGGAATGGCCACGGGAAATATTGAATAAAGTTCGATTGTGTTCGTGGTCAAATTATATCCACTCGACATCTACCATGGAGATTCGAAATCTCCATTAGATGTCCATGAAACGTCTCGTAAACGTCTACTAGACATCCACAGTTTCGCATTTCATACCTCCATTCGACATCCATTGGTATTCATAGATGATACATGTACGTTATATGGAGTAATTATAGATATTTTGTGAAACTGTTATGAATGTCAAATATACGTTACGCGCCGATTATAAGTGAATTTTCAGTCAATTTAATATCATGTCCATTAACTACTAAATTTTTATTTTTATATCATTTCTCAAAAACTTGATAGATTGAATGTTTTGTATATAGATACATACATCATAGAATTAAAAAAAAAGTTAACCATCTGAGGTTAATTATATGGAGCCTTGGAGATCCTTGCAAAAGCTAGAAGAGATGCGACTATAATAGTCCGCTCTCTTTGACTGATAAGTCATCATTTGTGGCCGTGTGCCGCGGCTTTATATTACTGTCTTAGATGAATTTCACTTGCGAGTTAGGCCTTTTTTCTTTTCGCCACCTAGCGGCGAGAAGCTCGTGGAACTATATGAATATTTTATCTATCATGGAGGTATTTTATCTAATATGGAGTTCTATTAGAGATATAGTTGTATGTAGAAACCTATCATATATTCATAACAGATGTCCAATAGTATATATGTCCATACATATCCATCCATGATGGATTTGTAGATGACATATAATAGGGAGGTAATATGGATTTCTATTAAAGATATAGTTGTATATAGAAACCTGTCATATATCCATAACAAATGTGCAATAGACATCCATGATGGATTTGTAGATGACATCTACCGTGGAGGTAATATGGATTTCTATTAGAGATATATGTATGTAAAAATCTATTATATATCCATAACAGACATCCAGTAGACATCCATGATGGATTTGTAGAAGATATCTGACAAAGGGAGGTCGCGGTTGACTCATCACCGATTTTGATCTCCTTTGGTGTGGTGAATCTACATCGAAAAAAAGTTGATCCGTGTTCGAGCTTTTCGTCCAATGCGCCTTGTAAAAAAAATTTTTTTTTCTCGAAGTGTAGAGAAATTGCCAGGTTCGTTATCAGGCCTAAAGAAAGACATTTTTCGATCGGTGCTGCTAGTCCAGCGGCAGACTAGTAATCCCGGGATCCCAGGTTTGAGACTTTGGGCTGTCATAATTTTTTTTTATTATTTTATTTATATATGTGTATATAAAACACATGTATTATTTATTATGTTAAATAAATATTCGGCATACTAATAATGTTAGAATACACAATTTTCATGTTTCACATCTTTACAAAATCGGTTTTTCTATCTGCTGTGAACCGCGGGATGCTTGTATTGTATATAAAAATGTATTTATTTATTTTTTATTTTTTTAACTAATTATTTTTTTATGTATCTATTTAATTCTTTATGTATCTATTATGTAATTATTTCTTTATCTATTTAATTTATTACTCATTATTTTCTGCATAAATATGTAATATGTAATAAATATATTATATAAATATATAAGTAAGATATTTTCTAATCGACCTTCTAGAATCTTTGACAGGATCACACAACCCTTCTCGCCTCTCCCACGTAATGTTTTCTGTAACAATATTTTAACGGCGGTAGCATCCAGCGGTTCACAGCTGGTAGAAAAACTGATTTTGTAAAGATGTGAAACATGAAAATTGTGTATTCTAACATTATTAGTATGCCGAATCTTTATTTAACATAATAAATAATACATGTGTATTATATACACATATATAAATAAAATAAAAAAAAAATTATGACAGCCCAAAGTCTCGAACTTCGGATCGCGGGATTACTAGTCTTGCACTCTGCCGCTGGACTAGCGGCACCGATCGAAAAAGTGTCTTTCCTTAGGCCTGATAACGAACCTGGCAATTTCTCTAGAAACTTCGAGAAAAAAAAAATTTTTTTTACAAGGCGCATTGGACGAAAAGCTCGAACACGGATCAACTTTATTTCGACGTAGATTCACCACACCAAAGGAGATCAAAATCGGTGATGAGTCAACCGCGACCTCCCCTTGTGAGAGGTAATATGAACTTTCATTAGAAATCTATTCAATATCCACCATGGACATAGAAGTCGTATGGAATTATGGAGGTTATATGGCCATCCATAGATAAGCCATAAGAATACGTAAAATAAAAAAATAGAGGTTTCTGTTTAAAAAATTGAATGTGACTTTCATGTGACCTTTCAAATGACTAGCCACCATCTTATATTCCTCTTGAAATACAAGTTTGTCTACATTTTTTTCTAAAATCTCATGAAATTAAGATATTTTGACCTGAAAGTTAAAATGGCATACCCTGTATATATTAATACATATATATAGTTCTCGTGAAGAATGTTACATATATTTAATTTTATAAAAATAAGACTGATAAATAACAGAAAAGATTTCTAAAAAAACTGTTATTTTAAGCTTTTTTATATGTATTAAACATATTTTAATTGTTTATTTAAATAATTATACAAATTTTTATATTTCTAATATACAGGGTGTCCCAGACCACCCGTCTCACCCGATTTTTTCGTAAACGCGACATTGTAAAGAAAAATGTTTCAGACAAAAGTTTTGTGACTTCGAGGGGGACATAAGATGGTGTCATTAGTTTGACCTTGGAAAGTCATTTGAAGGTCACATAAGTCACCTTCAATTTCTTAAATTGAACCCATTATTTTTCATTACATATTCTTGTAGCTTATCTCGAGAGCTTTCCAAAACACACAGACAAATGTTTTTTTATTAAGTACTTTTTGAGTTATAAGGCTTCAAAGTTTGCAGTACTTCGATATAAAATGCAAAATATCTCGTAAAATATTTAATTTTCGGTTGTCTTACCCTAATACTTTTATGCACAGGATAATGAGACGAAACTATTGGTGCAAAGAAAACATATGATTGTTTATAATAAAAAATGTGTAATTTGCAATGCAACTTTTTGTTATAAATAATCATACGTTTTCTTTGCACCAATAGTTTTGTCTCATTATCCTGTGCATAAAAGTATTAGGGTAAGACTACCGAAAATTAAATATTTTACGAGATATTTTGCATTTTATATCGAAGTACTGCAAACTTTGAAGCCTTATAACTCAAAAAGTACTTAATGAAAAAACATTTGTCTGTAGTGTTTTGGAAAGCTCTCGAGATAAGCTACAAGAATATGTAATGAAAAATAGTGGGTTCAATTTAAGAAATTGAAGGTGACTTTTATGTGACCTTCAAATGACTTTCCAAGGTCAAACCAATGACACCATCTTATGTCCCCCTCGAAGTCACAAAACTTTTGTCTGAAACATTTTTCTTTACAATGTCGCGTTTACGAAAAAATCGGGTGAGACGGGTGGTCTGGGACATCCTGTATACTATGTATATTCTTATTATACACATTCTTAGAGCTTATGGCTTATGAAGGCCATATGGATACCAAGTCCAATACCATTGTAAATTATGCTCTTAAGGGGTAACACTACCTTGTAAATTTTGAGAAGCTCGCTCAACATCATTATCGTCAAGGAAGGATGAGGAGCACGAAAATCTTAATTTAGAAGGACAATTGTATGGCCCTGGCATCGCCGATTAGTGGTAAATAAAAAATTACATTGAAATATACGTACTTGAAACTTTAAACGTGTTTTACTCGAAACCATGTTTTTCGAGCTGGCCGTAAAGCTAGCGCCTACAATTTTCAACCAATCGACTGGAAATTTTAACTGTAGCTAAAAAATTAAATTTTCTAGTGTACGCCCGTAGAACTTTTCAAAATATTAATTTTTTAAAAAATGGCGTCAGTTTAAAAGAAGAAACACGTTTTTACGGAAAAAATCGGCCGAAAATCGGCTATAAAGTCAGTAAATTTTCATAAATCAAAAAGTTCTACGGGCGTTCACTAGAAAATTTAATTTTTTAGCTACAGTTAAAATTTCCAGTCGATTGGTTGAAAATTGTAGGCGCTAGCTTTACGGCCAGCTCGAAA